TGGCTTTATAAACGCTATTTTAAATGCAGTCTTTAATAAAATAGCAAAGTACATAACCAAGTGATAAAATTAAGATAAAAATGCAAAATTCGTTTTAAAGAGTGGTAAAATAACTCTGTTGAAAATCGTACCACAGGTATCCCATATCTTGATTTTGGTCAAAAACTAAAATCTCATTAAAACGGGAGCGTGAGCAGATTGACATGGGCACCCCTTCTAATATCCTTTGGTAGGGTATAAGCAAGCTGTGTGCCAAATTTCATGCTTTTATCACTTTTGTCACGATCAGGTCATTAAGCCACCTGAGTAGTATTGCTAAAGGTGCGTTCCTTTGGGAAGTTAGTGATCCAAGATTACTCGAATGATGGTGCATCAAGGGAGCCGATGAATCCTATCTCAGAGTTGATTCATCGGTTCCATTTGATGCGTCATGATCTGAGTGATCTTAGATCACTGATCCTGATCCAGATCATCCCAAAGGAACGCACCCAAAAAGTCAGATTTTCATTAAAGTACCGCAGAACTGCGCATACCGGCCGAATGATTAAATATGAAGTATTAAACAACACTGACGTTTGAGCTTTAAGCGTGACCAACAAAATTACCTGGGGTAAAGGCAACCTCATTTCCAACTGTCAAGTTTCTGATCGTCCTATCAAGCACTTCATGTATCTAATTTTTTAAATTTTTTTGCTGGCGCATAGTAATCAAGATATATGAGTGATGCCACAAGACTCTTTAGAAAATAACCTAACGAAAATACGCGTGCTGATTGGTTTAAAAGCGTCTTTCTATACCTCGTTATAGTGCACCACTAAATTTTCTCCAATTCTTATTGATTTCAATTGATCACGTGACAAGATAGTTATCATCGGGGGGAGACACTATCTGCCCAAAGTGCTCGTAGGTGATAATGTTTCTGTAAACAAGAGGCTTATAGGAACAATAATTGAAAGGCGCCATGTGTCTGTTTTCAAATGTTACATTTGGCTTTCAAGCCTTTCAGCTATAAATAATACAATATGATTTTTGAACTGGCGCGCGGAAGAAAATTTAGTGGCGAACAATAACGACAATACGGTGTTTACGTCTCAAACCTATCAGGCTGATAGTTGCTCCTTGGAAATGTGATGTTATTAAAACTAGGGCTGATAGTTCGTCGGCAGAAACGTGATTGTTTAAATAGGAACACAGAACTAACACGAACTGTTGACGTAATGATGGCGCAAGCAGAGAGAATTTACGTTTTGATGATCAATTACACCCGCTTTCAGTGCTACATGCATAGGCGACATCTTTCGACATGCTATGTAACCTGGCCTACATCAAATATGTAAGCATAACGGACTCCTTTACGGTCGAACTCGACTTTAAGTCAGGAGAGATCGATTTATATATCTGACATCAGAATAAGGCTAGGAGTATGTGAGGGATAAATCGGCTGTTTTGAATGTTTCATTATTTTTAGAATATACTAGGGCCATGGATTACCTGTAAACTAGCTGATTAGCTAAGCGTAAAGCCCACGTTAAATAAAGTGTCGTATCGTATTGTATCGTATCGAATATTGTAAAAGCTGTAAAAGCGGTATTCCAGAAGTCACCAATGAGAGCCGATCGATTACACTCGGGAAACATGCCAAGTCCATTATCTTCTTCAGTCATTCGAGGTCAGTAATTATCATTTATTTTTCAAAATGATAAGCACCCAGTGGGTAGTAGACTTTCCAAAAAGTCCTTCCCTGGCCTGTTTAATAGCAACTGACTGTTGGAAATTTGGGAATACTCGAAAAAGCTGTGGAAACTATTTGAAACAAATGTCTCAAGAGCTTCTTTTCGCCAAATTTGTTCCCTAAATTGACAGGACATGCTTAACTAGTTATTGATTTAAAGTTTGTCGATTTAAAGTTAAGTTTCGACAGGAAAACGGATTTTGCGTTTTAAATGTATGTTCGTGACATGGCCTAAATCATTTAATTATACCTGCCTGCAAAAGGAACACTTCCTAACTTTTTGCATCATTACATAGCTCGAACATTACGCACTATAGAAAAGTGGAAATTTGTTATTGGCCTTCCATTGATGCCAAAGCAAAAAAATATGCTAACAATTAATCGCCAAGAAACGAAATCATTTACACACCGTTATTCTTCAAGGGCAATACAGTAATATACTAGACATACTTTCTGAAACACCAGCCCTAAGCCCGCATTTATAAACGGTTCCAACTTGTAAAAATTGTGCAAGGCGCCGAGTTGCAGTGGTGCTATTCTTGGGAGCAATAGGTCTAAACTGAGGAAGATTTTTGTCGTGATTTCGACCGCCCTCAACGAAAACGCACGTCCGACCACTTCCCACAATTTCGCGGTTCAAGCTAGTCTTTTTCGCCTGCTGAGGGACCGTTCATTTTTTATGAGGGAGGGGGGGCTGGTGGGATTTGGGAAGCACCATTTAAAAATC